TTTTCAGAGTTTAAAATTTTATAATTAGATATGAAAATATCTTTTTAGATAATCTTGATAATTTTTTACACAAAATTACATGTTATAATAAAATTTGGAAGTACGTTTTAATTGGATTGTTTAAAGTTGCAACCATATTGAAACCGTACTTTTTTTTAAAATCCATCATTTTTAATACTTTTTTTAATCTTTTTTAGAATCTATCACTTTTAATACTTTTTTAATCTTATTTAAATGTATTTTGCTTGGTTGTACTTTAAACATACATTTTATATTTTTTTAGATTTGTTTTAGATTTTTGAACGCTTTTTAGCCTGATCAGGTTGTGCCCGATTAGGCCGGTTACCAAAACCAATTCCCAGTTACTTGGACCCGCCCCAGGGCTGAGTTTTGAGACCGGCTGGTGCACTTGAACACTGATTTGCAGCCTGTACTGCCCAATTAGAGCCGATTACCCAGACGGGTTCCGAGTTACTCAGACCGGCCCCATGGTTGGGTTCGAGGCCGGTTCGTCCAATCGAACGCTGGTTTGTCTAAGCTACACATCATTTGGCGAAAATAACATGTTTAGACAAAGCCTGGACCCAATTTTGACATTAATTTCGTTTCAGTGAAGTGCGTAGATAAAATTCGTCAAAAGTGGCTTTATAATTCAGTTTTGACCAAGTTTAACTTGAAGTTTCGCCAGGTCCCTGATAAATTTCGCCGAAACCTTGCCGAAATCCGCAGAAATGTAGGACTTAAAATTAGAAATTCAAGCGACTCAATTAAGACTGTTCTTGTAATATCAAATCCAAACCCGCTTAATTCCCTGCACCTGCCCCTAATTTGAAAACCCCTTTCTTAGAGACAACACTATAATTTAAGGACAATTATGATATTTCAAGGCTTTCCCCGCCTCATTCTATTCACATTTGATGAGGAGACCGCGTCCAGCTTCTTGGCTATAATAATCAGGAGAATTCTCTTCCCTCCGTGAGTCGCGGTTGGCATAAAACATCCTCTCTCTCTCTCTCTCTCTCTTCACCTGCAACCATTTTCTCTCTCTACAATCCTTCCTTCTTATCCACGAACCCTAAAGAGCCCTTTCTCTCTCTACATATCCAAAGCAGCTTCCGTTTCCTCAACATCTATGTCTCTCTCTCTCTCTAGATATCTAAATTCCCGATTCTAGGGTTTCTCTCTGCAAATATCAAGTTCATGTCATTAGGTCAAATTAGGGCCTTTGTTTGAATTCCCAAAGCTACTATATTTGTCTGTGTCTCTCTAACTTGGATCATGATCATGGCTGTGAAACGGATTTGATTAAGAAAACCAGGCCTAATCTCTCAAAAGAAGACCGAGAATGCCAGCCACAGATTGCCAGGGCTCCTCCGCCCCCTTTTCTATCGGCCGATCGATCCTCAGCATAAAGCGAAACCAGATCGCAGCGATGGAAGGAAACCACGACCACGATCAAGAAGAGCTCGAACATTTCCAGAGACAAGTCACTGACAGGTTCCTTGACCTAGCAGCCTCGAGCACGGACTCGAGCCAGGGCTCGAGCGGCGGGCACGAGCTCCTCTCGCTCGCCTGGGTCAGCAAGGTCCTCGACGCCTTCCTGTGCTGCGAGGAGGAATTCAAAGCGGTGGTCCTATTGACCCCGCGTGCGCACCTGTCGAAACCGGCACTCGATCGTTTGCTGTCGGATTTTCTTGAGAGGGCAGTAAAAGCGCTCGATGTGTGCAATGCGGTGTGCGATGGCGCCGAGATGGTGCACCAGTGGCAGAGGCGGGCGTGCATAGCCTCCCGCGCGTTGGGTGGTGGCGGGCCGATAGGTGAAGCGCAGCTCAGGCGGGCGAAGAAGGCGCTGGCGGACCTTGGGGTGGCCGTGGCCATGGCCATGGCCATGGAGGGTGGTGGCGCCGCTGCGACGGCGGGTGCGCAGAGGAACAGGTATGAAAATAAATACACCGTCGTAACGCCCTTTAGGATAATGTATACGTAACGGCCAGTTCCTAAAATGGTGGTATGCGTTATTGGTAGATAGTGCCACAAACATTGCATTTTAAAATGTTCTAAAGAGTGGCGTTATTTCGGCTATAACGGCCATTATGTTTTTGGGAAGCACCTGCCTTAACGTTTATTTATTGTCATTTTTGTGTTTGGTGCCATTATTTATGTTGGGCATTATGTCGAGTATGACTCCCTCCATTTCTGTCATTATTTCCATTTTTCACCTTATTTTAATTTTTAACTTTTTGTATGTTGGGCATCACGTCGAGTATGGCTCCCTCCATTTCTGTTTTTCACCTTATTTTAATTTTTAACTTTTTTTAAAACGCGTTTTACATCTGTTATTTAAGTCATAATTAATTGTTATGAAATAAGATATGATCCACAAAATCGTACATGGCGTTACAAATCATCTCGATCGTTCCTAAAGGCCACTGATGGTGGTGATCTGGGTATAGGACGGGGTCTCATATGATCACTTTCTTTTTTATTTTCTTATTTTCCCTTGTTTTATTATAACATTACTTGACGTTGCGTTAACACAAATGGCCTCTGCCTATGGTATGTTACAACCGAATTTGAACCCGTAACAGGTCCTTTGGCCGTGCCGGCTCCTCCGCACCATCGCCGCCCACAACGCATGCATCCCAACGCTCATGGAGTGTGCCGAAGTCGTGGTCCGCCGCTCGGCAACTGCAAGCCATGGGCGCCAACCTCACGGCACCACGCGCCGCCGATGCGGCAGCCACCGGGGGTCTCGCCGCCCCCATCTACACCATCAGCACTGTGCTCATCGTCACGACATGGACGATGGTCGCTGCCTTTCCGTGCCAGGACCGAGGCCCACAAGGCCACCTCCCCACTCCCTCCAGACAGTTCTCATGGGCACTTCCGATTACGGGCATACAAGATCAGGTAGCGGAGGAGTGGAGAAAGCATAAAGGAGTGGCGGGGTTGCTGTTAGAGCTCGGGGTGGTGGAGAAGTGTGGAAAGCGTTTGACAGAGATGGTGGAGGCTGCGAGGGTGCCGCTGGCAGAGGAGCGGGAGGAGGAGATCAGGGCGGAGGCCGAGGAGCTCGGGCGGGCTTGCAATAAGCTGGATGAGGGGTTGGGGCCCTTCCAGAGACAGGTGAGGGAGGTGTTTCATAGGGTCGTGAGGAGCAGGGCCGAGTTGCTCGAGTACCTTAGCCGACCTTCCGAGCAATGATCTAGCCCATGGTTCGCGCTCTGACCGAGCCCACCCAACACCTCGACTGTGGACTGGGTCTACCTGAGGGTCCGAATTCGGAGGTCTACTGGCATTCCACGTTGAGGTCTTATGAAGTAAATAAAGGGGTAAAAACCTTTCATTTTTGTTTTTGGATTTTGGTTTGAGGGGGAGGTTTTTTGATATTTTAATTTTGTTGTTATCTTAATATTGTGAATTTTGTTGTTGGATTAGAAGAAATTGTATATAAATTTAGGCAGTTGAATTCTCTTTTTCTTGTGTAATTTCGTGGATTTTGCTCAGATTCAAAATTTTGGTAAACTTGGTCAAAATGCAATATTTTTTCTAGAAAATTGTAATACACCTGAATTACATTTCAACGGTTGTAGATGTATAAGAATTTTTTTGCATTTCTAAATTTTCACGAATTTTCAATGAGACTTGACTTTTGAATTATTTTTTCATTAGAATTAGTTATTTTACAGCCAAAAGATTACTTGCTGTCAGCACATGTTCTTTTCAAGAGTCATATAAAAGTATCGGGTGTGTCCGGTCCGGTCCGTTAAATGGAGGAAGAACTATAGAGTTGATATACCCTTACATTCAACTATCTAGCCATATGCCACCCAAACCAAATACTCTTTTAAGTTTTTATACCCTTCTAACACTGTTTTATTTTAATTTATCCACTTTCCGAGTTAAAAAAAGTAACTTTTCTATATAAAAAGGGTGTGGTTTGTATGGAGCTGACGCTCTAAACAATCAAAGTGCATTGCACCTTCAAATAGTATCAAACAATGTAGTTTTAATATTAAAAATCTTTGTGATAGCCTTAAAATACATTTTCAACTTTGATTATAAAATTTAATGCTTAAAAAATAATGTAGTTCGAGCTGATCTATGAAAACTTGAAAATCCTGAACATTGAAGGCCAAAAATGTGTTATAAGATGCACTATTTTTAAAACTTGAAATCTATTATTTTTTCATGTCCATGCATTTTGATCTCGAGATGATCAATTTAGGGATGTTTAGGCATCAAAACAACCTTTTTTAGTGAAATTTTTGAAGTAAACTCTAATTTGATCGTTCAGAGCCTCGACTCTATGTAAGCTTTTTCCTATAAAAATGCACCCCTCTTAAACCCACGTTTCTCTTTATTTTAGACAATTTTACTAGCCTAAAGCATTAGGTTAAATTTCATATCGGAACCCTCCTCTCTTTTTTTTCAAGTGGCATAAGAAAATCTGGTTCATGTGTATAGGTAAGCTAATGACATTGCTGAAGACTTGGGTAAACGAGCGGGGATGTTTATTTTAGGTGTCTTTCCTTTTTGAATGGTTGTAACTTTTGATTTGTCAATAAAAAGTAAGTAACATCGTCACAAAAAAAAAAGAGAAAAAAACTATGGTAACTAAAAGAGAGAGAGTGACATAAATAGGCCATATGAAATGGTGGGTATTAGGGTTAAAGAGAGAAATGTTGGTTAGGACGGAGCGATACAAAAATGTTAGAGAGAGAAATATAGGTCATATAGTAGGTTAGAGTAAGAAAGATTTAAGAGTGTGGGGGTTGATCGTTAGAGAGAGAAAGAGACTAAGAGAGAAATGAACCTGCCCTAAACTTAACGTGAGGGGAGAGAGGCAAGCAGGTTGTGAGGGTTGGCACCATGGTGAACGTGAGAGGAGAGAGGTGAGCAAGCCCTTACCATAAAAGAGAGCATTGTGGTGAAATGAGAGGGTGGGAGATCTGATGGGGTTGAAAAGAGAAAAAATATGGTAAAAAAGGTTTTTAGGTTGAAGTGGTATAAAATAGTTTGTTGGAGTTAACTTTTATGTTGAAATCCTTTTGGGCTAACTTTTACGTTGGAATCGTTTTGGGTTTTCTCATGCTATTTGAAAGTAAAAAAATAGGAGGGCCTACTGGTAAATGAGATAGGGAATCCCTATGAACTTTTTCCAATGCATTATGTGATGGATCGGATTATGGTCTCTATTGAAGCCGATCTAGCACATATTGTGCCGCATCGGTTTCATTATAAATATTGAAACTCGTCTAGCACAATGTGTGCGTCCGACCGGCCCTTGATCCCTATTGAAACCGGACCGGCTTGATTTTTTCCTAAAGAGAATGGAGGTCCAAAAACGTGGGTTTAGATGGGGACATTTTCACTATAAAAAGTTATGTTTTTACTTGAGGGGTGAATAAAAAAAAAGGAAGTTAATATTAAAATTAGTGATGTGGTTTAAAAAAAAAAAAAAAAAGCTAATATTAAAATTAGTGATGTGGTTTATAAAGTATTAAAACGTAGAATGCTTGAAAGTTGCCAAAAAGAAGGTTATCTATAATTTTCCCCGAGTGTCACGCTTTTTGTTTGTTTAGGGAGCGGATTAATCTTCACCGTCCGACGTATAGAAACGATAATTCAGCTTTGCACTTTCCATTGATATTCTTATATGCTGTTAAGCATTTGGGAGGCCTGATTTTACTGAGGGTGAATCCTTCGCGTCTGGACAAATGGTCAAGAAATTAAGGGTAGACATGTTCACACGTTCTCTCTTGATAGTATAGCATTATATATGAATTTTGGATCTAAAAATGGCTCTACAATATTTTAAATTTTGAAATTTTAAAATGTAATTTTTTTTTAACCATTTCATTTTATTTTTTTACCTATCATATCTGTTTTATTTTTGGAGCCGCAAAAACATGGATCTATGGTGGAATTACATTCCCGGTTATTAAAGATATATTTTATATCCTAAATCCATAAAAACCTAGGAGGTCTCATGAGTAGGTACCAATTTTTTTGTTTGTAAATGTGTGTAGTCATCAATGCCTACATGAGCCAACATCCTTACAATGTACAACAAACGCCTTCATCATGGATTCAAAAGAACTGCACTTTCTCAATAACCAACCCTGTTTGATCACGCATTGATGAAACCCAAACATGAACTTAGTGTTGTATCTTTTTTATCTCAAATATTAGGTGCTATTTCAAAAATGATATCGCTTTTAAACGTGTGTTATGTCTCCTACATTGAATAATAAAGTAAGGAAAGTCGCACAAGAAGAGCAACGAGCAAACATTTGATCCAATATTGTATTGTCCTGCTGAGCGATTGAAGTTTTGTTTTCCCAGAATGGTGAGAAACAGAGAATGAAGCTAGGGGAGTCTCAAGATGTGGTAAATGTGGCTGGCTTTCCCTGTTGATAGAGGATCGAGTCTTAAAAGAGTCTTTAAGGGGTGTGGATCTTTTGGTTGTTGGTTCCACCCTTGAATGATCTCTTCGGATTGGGAGATTGGGCCAAGAGGGCGTGGTCTTTTTCTTATTGTTAATAGTTATTGTGGGATTATAATTGTAATGGGATTTGTTTTTTAAAAGGCAAGAGTTGTAATTCTATAAATATCTGGTAAACCAAAGTAATCTCTATGAATGAAATACTTGTTTATCCTCCGTGGATATAGGCACTATTGCTGAACCATGTATAGGCTATATTGATTTATTTATCTTTCTCTTCTCTATTTTGTTATTATAATTTGTATCAGAGCCATCGGATCTGTTGCCCAGCCATTGTGATCTTTGATCAATCTTTGGCAATCCGTTGCTGCCCGGCCATTGTGATTTCTGATCAATCACTGGCGATCCGTTGCTGCCCGATCATTGTGAGATCTAATATCCTGTGGTATCTTCCTGTGTGCGATGTATTCTGCTTGATAAATATTTGCAAGATCTGTTACCCGTATCCAATGTTACGGAACAACATGAAGGGTGGGATTTTTTTGAGTATATCCTCAAAGAACTAATCTTTTGGAAAGACGCCTTAGTGATGAAAACATTGGCAGTTAATATGGATGATGCCATGGATGATATTTCTTGCTGAGACTTCTATTATTTTCGAGAACCCAAGAAAGATTCACGCAAATGTTTTGCAAGCACTTTTGAGGAACTTTCGGTGCAAAAGTTTAGCAAGTTTCTTTTTTACAGCATTCTTGTGCAAGCTCGTTTTGCAGTTCGAGACTTCGACGAAGTTTTCAATTGCAAAAGATTTGCAAGTTTTTCGTTGGAATGCAAAAGGTTGCATTCTGTGCACCCTCAACTTGAGGTGATATTTATGTGGACTTCTCCCATCCATCTTCAAATCGCTTTTCAAAGAAGACCTCAGTAGGCGAATTTTTTGGATCTTCGATAGGTTCCGATTGAGGTGTCTTCTACTTTTTAATCATCTTTGCTATTGATCATGTCAGTCTTCGGGTTCCCTTTATTTCTTTGTAATGGCAGATTCAGAACGTAACTCTAGCATAAAACTTACTATCGTTCTTTTGAATGGATTTACTTATCTTACTTGAGTGATAGCTGTTTCTCGTTTTTTTTCCTGGGAAATTTAAACTTGGGTACATCAATGGGAAGAAAAAGGCTCCCAACAAAGATGATCACTTGTTTGAGGAATGGCAATCCAATGATGGTATTGTGATTTCATGGATCTTGAACTCCATGGAACCTAAGCTTTCAGAAATTTTTACTTTTGCTGAAAATGCTCAAACTTTATGGAACTCCATTGAGGAAATGGATAGCCAACAAAACAATATCGCTCAAATTTTCCAATTAAAACATGAAATTTCTCAAACAAAACAAGGGGATAAAACAATGATTAAATATCTTGACGCTCTCAAGAGCATGTGGGATGAGTTGACAATTTACTCATCTACAACTACTGACTTGGCAATCTTGTAAAAATGTGCCGAGCATGACAAAATATTTCATTTTTTGGTTGGGTTAAATAATGCATATGAATCCATCAGGAGCGAAATCTTAATGATTACAAAATTGACGTCCTTTAGCAATATTTGTGCTACTATTCAATGAGAAGAAACTAGGAAGAAAATCATGAGTCTTTACCTCAAAAACTCTCAAGAAAGTATTGAGAAATCTGCTTTAGTTACTACCAATTAAAAGTATGAAACTAGAAAATATCAAAATAATGGTGGAGGTAGAGGCTTTAATAATTATCGTAGTGGTAGAAGGGGTCGCGGTAATAGAGGGCATTCAAGATGTGACCACTGCAATAATATAGGACATTTGAATTATTGGTGTTGGGTGTTGTACCCACACTTTAGCCCCACCCATGTAGCCAATAGTTCAAGAGGTATACTGCTCAAGCTATAACCATTCAAAACCATCACTGCAACTGTGATAATTCTCAACAACTAAGTGACAAGAGTGATTCTTCCTCTACACAAAATCATATTTCCCTCTCCATCTCCCAAGATAATGGTAATCCTTGTACTTTCATGCCTTCCTATAACACACTTCCTTG